TCCCTAGCCAGCCATGCTGGCTGGGGAATTCTGGGAGTTGAAGTCCACTCATCTTAAAGTGGCCAAGTTTGGATAACACTGGGTTAGTTAATTATGTTTTGGGGTAAGCATCCTAGACAGTTTCTGCAAACTTGGATTAGGAAGTATGAAATTCAATTTTCTGTTAGGGCTTATTGAATTATTTTGGATATATCTCTCTTTTTCCTTCCCTCTCTACATTACGTTCATCTGTAAAATAGGTATAGGACAAATCATTTTACCTAAGAATAGGGGGAAAAAAGGAGAACAACATGCCCAATGCCTCGTAACTGATGAGCTAGCTCTGCTCCAAAAAGGAAACAACTAATATAAATCAGGTTTTCTTACAGCCATTTGACAATGCTAAATATTATTAAATGTATTCAATTTATGGCAGGCTTCTTGAGGAATGGAACTGGAACCATAGCAGCTTTGCATATATTATTTATCCCACCACTGAGCTAAAAAAAGTGCCTCAAGCATCTTGTGGCCCCACCCTTTGATATGCACATCCACAGAGCAAGGATTAAAATCCATGGGAAGTTTCATGCAAGCAGGAGCATTGTACTGCTGTAATTTTGATGACGGTCTCCTCCATGTCTTTTATACACTGATGTCAATGGAAGAGACCTGCCATTTGCACCCATAAAATATAAGCAGGAGCAATTACAGTCATGTTGTGTATACATCTTACAAATAATAATATAGGAAGTATTCTTTGTCATCTATGTGTTGCAGGTTAAACTAAACACTTGCCTTATTTCCAGAAAACCCCACAAATTCCAGTAATCGTGCAATCCTTGTTGGTAACATGGATAGAGTCTGGAGGGAGGGAGGGGGGAAGAGAGGGAAAGACAGAAAGAGAAAGAAACAACTTGCCACCTAAATTTCACAGAAGTTCTTCATTAATAAAAGAACCACCTATAGTCTTATAGAACATTCTGGTTCATATCCACTGAAAGGGCCACTTTGAGGCAATTTCATCATGCTACTCTTTTATTATTCTTAAATACAGTATGGAAATTTCCTGTTACCACTCAGTACCATGTCAGAGAGACTCTTCAGTGGGGAGAAGAGTGTGCAAAGATTTCAAGGAAACAAGCTGTTCTATGTCTGTACGGCTTCAAACCAGTTAGAACTGAACAAATCACAAGAGGCCTTGAAATAAGCAGAAAGATGGGGTATAAATTCAATAGTAAATGAAATAAACCCTGTAAGACAGCAGGATTTATGAGGATGGATATTGTATTCTGCCATACACTACTGCTCAGTAGAAGAACCAAAAGATTTTAATCATTGCTTTGCTGCAGCACTGCCATGTGAAGCACTGCAGTGAAAGAAATTCACAGATGAAGCATATAGAGAAAATAACATTATGTGTTACAGAGACAGCATGACAAGAACCACTGGCTCTCTATAACTATGTAAACATCGGACAATTTTGCAGCTGTTAATTGAAAATGAGCTCTGAAATCCTATCTAGACAATGCCAGCCAGTATCACAAGTACTGACTAATAAGGCAGTTGCCTTACTTGGCATGTAGCTTTAGCATGTTATCCTGGGAATACTGTGACATGTTTTAAAAGAGTTTTAAAATGAAATACCAGGGAAGTAATTTCCTCCCAGAGGTATTCTTCTTCTTCAAGCCTTTTAATTTTTTTTTAATAAAACAATCTTAGTATTTGGTGATATCTTTGTGTGTTTG